GAGTTCGATAAAAGCTATTAACATGCGGTTTGCGCCATTCTGTTACGAATTTAATCCAGTTCCATTCTAATTTACAATAAATAGGTGTTTCCATTAAAAATTTTGAAAAAAAAAAACAAATTTTAATTTTTTCTATTCGAAAGTACCCTCTACCTACGACAATTAAAACTAAATGCAATTATTTTATAGTAGATGTAAATTCATTCATCCATACTCTTTCTAATGACACTAATTTTGTTAAAATCGGTTGATCCAAACCAAAGTTATAGGTATTTATCCACAAATACTTTCCCATTCTCCCCCACCCTTTATTTGAAAAAATAAAAAAAAAGTACTTGAACAATTTTGTGCAGAATTTATGCCCCTTTCTAGTTTACTTATTTAACACTTGGTATAATTGGACATATTTCCCAAAAAACTGGTTTTTAAAATTTTCTTCGCAGGTTACGCCCTCTAGCGGTTAATCCAGAATCTTGGAAAGTTATTTCCAGCGATTTCTCGTGGCCACTTTTACTAAGGAATTTTTTTTTCTAAAGTTATAACATGAATAGTTTCTGATATATAGCCGAGAGATCGGCTTATTGGACCACCCGGTACATAATTGGTGGTGGGTAGCTATAAAAAATTAGACTGTACACATTTTGATAGGTATTAAATTTGTAGTGAAAACTAAATATTTCAATTAACACCTGTTTCCCTTTTTATTTTAGCAAACAGCTTTACCTTGGAAGGTATATGTTAATACATTCCTGGCGCCCAATCACATCTTAGAGCAACTTCCATAGTTTACCACTTTCATTTACATTATTTCTTTGTTTTTATTACCTTGTCATTCATTTTCTCATTTTACAGTCTCTGTAGGGTATGCAAATTGGCCGAATCCTCTTTTGAGTGTCAAGTAGTCACTCTCCGGCACATTCTGCTAGCCAGCTTGAATTTATTTGTTTTTTGTTACATTACTCCAAATACTTGTGTTACATTACACATACACATTTTTATTACATTGGCGTCCTCCAAATCCCATTCACAAATTTTTTGTTACAACGTTCGAACCTTAGTAAATAGGAATAAAAACAGTAGACGGCAGTGTTTGTTGTGGTAATTAGCGGAGTACGCATGTAAGGTTAGTTTAGGCTAATAAACGTGGATATATCTTTTTTAAGTACTATGGATGCCTATGAAAGGAAAATACAGCGTCTGCAAGCTCTATATGATGAGGACATAGAGATATTCAGTAACCACGGAACTGATTCTGAGACGACAGAGGCTGCACGTAGAAGACAGGAATGCTACAGAAGGTGACAGGCGATTATATTATATGGTAAAGATGGAATTAAATGGCTAAAACATACACCTTCTAGAACAGTTCGTACTAGAAAAGAAAATACTGTTCAACATTTGCCAGGCACTATTGGTATTGGAAGAAATGCAAGTACTCCGATGGAATCATCGAACCTTTTATTTAGATCTAGATCTATTTCTATCAATTTCCAAGATAAACGAGATGTCAAAAATACATAAATTTCGGAAATGGGAGCATTTCTTGGTTTGCTTTATTTGGCAGCACTAGCAGGATCTCAACACAATTTAAAAGAATTTTTTGCGCTAGATGGATTAGGAAGCGAAATATTTATTGCAACTATGGGAGAGGGGCGATTTAGATTTCTTCTAAGAGTTATTCGCTTTGACGATAAATATACTAGGGATGAAAGGAAGCTAACAGATAACTTGGCTCACATAAGAGATATATTTGACACATTTGTTCAGAATTGTAAAAGTTATTATTCTGTAGGGGAGTATGTCACTTTGGATGAAATGCTTTTCGCTTTTCGAGGAAATGTAATTTTCGAATGTACATACCGAACAAGCCCAAAAAGTAAGTAATAAAAGTCTTTACCACCGTTAATGCTAGAACCTTCTACACAAACCGTATGGAAATCTATGCTGGACAGCAGCCACCTGGACCGTACAAATTAGATAATTCCACTACAGCAGTTACACTGAGGACCACTTGTTTACCTCTTGTACAGCTGTGGAGGAACTTTTAACAAACCATAGATTGACTGTTGCAGATACTTTAAGCGTTTGACGACAGTCAAACGCTTCACAAAAAATAAAAGATCTAGCTGGAATGACTAAACAAAGACTCCCTTGTAGATTAACAAACGACTAGAATGAAACGATATGGGAATTAAGCGATCTAAACAACGTATGGGGACATTACATAGAAGAACTATTCTCGGACACACCACTAAACAACATAATATATAAAAACCATGAAACCAGTCCTCCTATATTAAAACAAGAAGTAGAGAGAGCAATCAAAAATGCAAAAAATGGAAAAGCCCCTGGCCCCGATGACATACATACGGAAGTCATAAAGCTACTGGAAGAGAAACATTTAAATATAATCGTCAAATTATTTAATCAAATATATAGAAGCGGTGAAATTCCACAAGACTGGTTAAATCAGTCTTTATTCCCCTTCCAAAAACTAAGGGAGCAAAGAAGTGTGGTGATTTCAGACTTATTAGTTTAATGTCGCATATGTTAAAGTTATTCTTGAAAGTTATTCACCAACGCATTTATAAGAAATGTGAACAGGATATCAGTGATGAACAATTTGGCTTCCGAAATGGATTTGGGACACGGGAAGCATTAACCAGTTTTATTATACTGCTGCAAAAATGTCGAGACCAAAAAAAGGATCTCTTTTTATGTTTTATTGACTATCAAAAGGCCTTCGACAAAGTAAAACATGATATGCTGATGGATTGCCTTCACAAAAAGGGACTAGACGAGAACGATTTTAAAATTATCCAAACGCTGTATTTTAACCAAACTGCAGCAGTTAGAACAGAAGCCGGTGACACAGAAATATTCAATATCAAGCGAGGTGTACGACAGGGGTGTGTATTGTCACCACTACTTTTCAATATATATTCGGAAAAAATCTTTGCACGAGCACTAGAGCAATCAAGAGAAGGTGTTAAAATTAACGGCAGAGTTATAAATAATGTACGATACGCCGACGACACGGTCCTAATTACAGAGAGCGCACAGGATCTCCAGACACTCTTAGATCGCGTCAGATCGATCGGAGAACAATACGGCCTCAGCATTAACGTCAAGAAAACAAAAACAATGATTGTCGAAAATGTCGAGAAATTTCGATATCTAGGGTGCTGGATAACGAAAGATATAGATCCAGACATAGAAATAAAATCGCGAATTGAACAAGCAAGAAATGTCTTTTTAAAAATGAAACAAATGTTTACGTCCCAAACACTCAATCTCAAAATCCGATACCGAATGCTGAAATGTTACGTTTACAGCACCTTACTATATGGAATGGAGGCCTGGACCTTCAAAATCAACTCACTCAGGCGTTTGGAAAGTTTTGAAATGTGGTTATTTCGAAGGATGCTGAAAGTCCCCTGGACAGCGCATATGAGCAACGAGCAGGTCCTACACAAGATGGGTACCGACAGAGAACTCTTAAAAATAATGAAAACACGGAAAACCTCATATTTGGGACACATATACAGAAATGAGAAATACCAGCTACTGCAGCTTCTTAGAGAGGGGAAGGTAGAAGGAAAACGTGGTCCTGGTAGACGGCAGGCGTCCTGGTTGAAGAACATTCGTGAGTGGACTGGGTTGGATTCTCAATCTTTAATAAGAAAAGCCAGGGACAGAAATGATTTTGCTGAGGTTATCGCCAACCTTCATTGAAGACGGCACCCAAAGAAGAAAAAGATACTTTAAAAACCAACAAGCCGCAATTAATTGCCAACCATTATAACCAACGTACAAAATCGTCCCGTGCAGTCTTCTGTATTTCTTTTTGGAAAACACATGATAGCTTCGTCCTATCTTCCTCGAAGAAAAAAAAAGTCCTCTGGGTGTCTTCTTTTCATCGTGACGACGACACAGTTGATCCAGTTAGTGGTAAGCCAGAGACAATTTTATTTTGTAATTCTACAAAATGCGGTGTAGACATCGTTGAAGAAATACGAAACGGTGGCCGTTTTTATGGAACATTAAACGTTTGCAATAATAATGGTTCTATCATTACTAGATTCAATAATCCAGATGCAGAATATAGTGAAAATAGGCTACTATTTATAAGAAATTTGGAAACGCAGGTAATAAAAGGACATATGGGTTCCAGAGCCTAGACGTCAGATTTAGATTCATATATTCAGTCTGCAGTTGACAAATATGACAACTCCAAAGCTCTATCAGATCCCCTTCCGATAAAAGAGGACACTGAAGGTATTGCAAAAAACGGAAAACAGAACATTTCTGTAAGTTTTGCTAAAATTGGTTGTGCATGCAACATATTGTAGCATGTTGCACAGACTGGGTAGACAAAATGACGTAAAATCATTGTGTAATTTTGTACTACTATATTTTCTGCACCAACTTTGTTTACATTTTACATTTCTTAATTTTAGCAAATATATTTTTACTCATCCCTAATGTAAATGTAAAATTCTTTGTTATTGTGTAATTTTATATTTTTTAAAATAAAAGTGTAATGTATTTCCCTCAATTCGTAATTAAAAAACTTTTTGTAAAATAGATTACAGTAAAATTTTTCAAATGTCTTGTCTCCATGATCTTCTTAGCCTTCCTTTTTCCTGCGGTTGGCGGCATCCACTGTAACATTCTCGTTGGTCGCCTTTGATCATTCACTCTTTCGACATGGACATACCATTTCAGCCTTTTGCATTCTATAGTTCCAGGATATCAATGTCTATGCCCATATATACATGAAAAACTTATAAGTCAGCTATTTTTGAATAAGAGCTATATAATATATATTTTCTTAGAAACTCTAAGTGAACTGTAATATCGGTAATTTTTGGTAACTAAGAAAAATATTTTAAGAAGTTAATTCTTATACTTTTAACTACAACTAACGACCAAGCTACATTTGAAAACTCTATTAATATTGTACAAACACGTATAGCATATATTTGTGGAGAACTTACTTGAAAATCTTGCAATTTTATGCTGAATTTCTCGGCGGAGAAGTACTGGTCACCGCAGTGGTAGGAAAATCCTTTTGGAGCATAGATGCTTGCAGTTGATTTGAGTACAAATTCACCTTCGCTGGTATTTGCTGTAATATTACCCACTTGCTCCCAGTATCCAACACTACCGTTACTTGAGAATTCAATGCTAAAAAATATAATAAATGCGATGATTGGTGATTTTTTAATTGTGTGAATAAAGGATCAAGCACCACTAATAAATATAAACATATACGAGGGTGGATTGGGGGTGCATATTTAAGTTATATTAAAAAAACTGCAATATTTTATTAAATTTGTAGTATTTCTAAAAATTCTAGATGACGCTACTTGATACCGAATTGGTTTCGGTGTTGTTATTTGCAATTCATGACATGACGTCTGTCAAAATTTTATGTTTTAAAAACAATCAGTTTGGTTTTTACAGCCCTCAAAAGCAAGCAAATTTCGTTTGAAAATTTTGCAAATAATCCTTCGGTGATTAAGTTCCTCCACAAAAAGAGTAAAACGAATGTGCAAATCAAAGCCGACCTCGACGAAGTTTATGGTGAGGTTACACCTTCGTTAGCAATAGTAAAATTTTGGAAAGCTGAATTTGTTCGTGGTCGTATGAGTGTTTGTGATGATGAGCGTCCCAGGAGGCCAAATGAAGTCACCACGCCGGAAATGATCAACAAAGTGCATGACATGATTATGGCAGATCATCGAATTAAGCTCCGCTAGTTAATAGAGGTCTTAAACATTTCCTATAAAGGCGTACACATCATTCACCATTATTTTGACATGAAAAAGCTAACCGCGCGATGAGTGCCGCGTTTGCTGACAATCGATCAAATGCAAAAACGTGTGATCACTTCGGAGACGCTTTTGGCGATGATACGGAGCGATCCGAACGATTTTTTCGCCATTTTATCACCGTTGATGAAACCTGGGTGCATTATGACACACCGGAAACCAAAGAACAGTCGAAACAATGGCGCAAACGTGGCGAAGGGACGCCGAAGAAGGCAAAGAGTGCACATTCGGCCGGCAAAGTGATATCGACTGTTTTCTAGGATGCGAAGGGCATCATCCACATCGACTACTTGGAAAAAGGAAAAACAATCAATGGTGAGTACTACGCAGCATTATTGGATCTATTCGATGCCGAATTGCGTCGAAAACGCCCCGGTTTGGAACGCAAAAAAGTACTCTTTCACCAAGACAATTACATGGCACAATTACACGAATTGGGCTATGAATTGGTTGAACACCCACCGTATTCCCCAGATCTTGCCGCCAGCGATTTTTTCCTGTTTCCACCCCTAAAAAAATAGCTCGGAGAACGCAGTTTCGCAAGAAATGATGAAGTCGTCGCTGAAACGTCGGCCTATTTTGACGAGCTCGAGCAAAAGTACTATTCGGATGGGATAAAAAAATTGGAACATCGTCTTACCTAAGTGTATCGTGCTAAAAGGGAACTATGTTGAAAAATAAATCGATTTAATGGCAAAAAAAACTTGTTTTTCCTATCAAAGGCTAGTTTTTTATCAATTCACCCTCGTATATTGAAATCCCCTCGTACAAGTTAAAACCGAAGAATATTTTTAGTGTATTTCATTTCTTATCGTGCGTATTAAACCACCAAAATATTCTTTTAATCCTTTTTGCGTCGCCTAGTTCATATAAAAACATTTTAAGTTTGTTTATTTATCACGGACGCGTATTTCTTTGGTATTTTCTTTTGATCGAAGCCGCTTAATATTCTGCGTTTCAAATAAACATCCATTTAGATCGCTGAGAAGATTTTGCCGGAGAGATAATTGCGACACTCTCGCTGAGGCTGCTGTGAGGGGCAATTGCTTCAGCGTTGGTCCAAATTTTACGACAAATTTGAAACGTTTTCTGAAAATATGTAGTGAGCAGTTAATAGTTACATGTTTAAGTGAGGTTTGCAATGTTGGCGATTGAAAACAGACGTGTTTTAGTTTAGTCGGAAAAACCGGCTAATTTGTGAAAAAAATGTGATTTATACTCAAAGTAGTGTGTCAGTTAAAATAAGAGTTATCACTGGTTTTTGTTGTATGCCGTCTCTCATATGAGATATTTGTAAAACGGCGTTTACAACAACTCTGAAAGGTACCCACATGTTCCACTGTCCAGTTTTTTAAAAAGCCGAGTTTCCAGGTTTGTGTCCAATGTGCCACCGATTTTCCGCTTTCCACTAACCAGTACAGTACATTCAACCAACTTACACCTCTAAACGATTAATGGAATTCACAGAAAACCTTTGCATTGTAGTAAAAGTCACGGTAAACTGCACTGGAGTTCTCCATAATCTTTCTAATTAGTTACTTTGTTTAGAATATTTTTGCCTCTATTATCAGTTAGAGTTAATTTGTATAAAATGAGGAGCAAAAATTCAAATAGAATTTTAAATATTGTTTATTTGGCTAATAATGAATTTATTAATATAATGGTTAATCTGCTGTACAACTATTTTGTAAATAACATTATAATAGTGTACTTACTGATTATTTAAATTTATAAATCATCGTAATCGTCACTAAATGCACTACCGCTATTATTGTGTAAATCTATTTTATGTACCGTTCCCGTCATAAAAAACTGGTACAATTCTTATAATCAAAAATCGTGTTTTTTAAGTTGTGTACGTTGATCTTGTCAGATGTGTCATTCTAATTTCTAGGGCACCATTGCCAGTTCAACGAAAATATATAAAACCAGCTAACCTTTTTCGCCCCGGATATTTTATAGTTTATAATACGTAGGATAAAGCAAAATGTTATTTTTTTACATTTATTGTTCCTATAATAAATAATAATTTAATCTTGGTAGTTTGTTACTAAACTTATTGACACAAAATACAGTACGTGTTCGATAGGTAATTGAAGTATAAAATTACAGTAGATGCATTCCAATGTTCTCTGTGCCAATACCACATGTTTAAAGATCTTTCAAACATTTTGGACAATAACTCAACCCTGTCTTTGCTTATTTAATTTCTTAGATACGGTTTTTTGATGTTAATGATAAATATAATACCTATCTAAAAATTTTATACATTTTTAACGTTATTTTTTTATTTAGATTTAGTGCAATTCCGTTATCTGTATTGGCAACAACGAATTGATTTCTGAACACAGGTTTACATTGGGAAAAAAAAGTGTACCAGTTTTATATGACGGGAAGTGTACTATGTACTTTTTATACCTACTTTGAATATAAATTATCCTTAGCACGATAGTTGAACTACCTACTACCTCATGTATGATTGCATCTACTATTGGTTTGGAAGATTATATAGAGCTAAGCGCAACATCTTCAAGCACCCCATTTTCTATATCGGATGTTTTTTCGGACGGAAAAGTTCGTCGGAAATTCGTCGCTTATTGAATATGTTAAACCAAAAGTGTGCAGAGTTGGTAAGACCAGGCAACAACTATGGGGATAAACTTTATAAACTTTGTTTACCTAATGATGTAACGCCAAGGTTTAACGCAGGAAAACAAACAGTAACAACAAGTAATGAAATTGGCCATCCTCATCAAATTACTATCGATCTAATTGACGGACTTCTAGACCAAGGACGTGTTCTCTATAAAGATAATTTTTATAGTAGTTTACCTTTAGTAGAAAATTTTCTGGAACTTAACACATTTTTTTGTGGTACGCTTCGATCAAACAGAAAGAAATTGCCCAAAGATTTTTTCAACCAGAAACAAAAACGCGGCGAAGTTTCGGGCGTCAATAATAGATCTGGAGCAAAGATTATAAAATGGACCGATAAAAGACAAGTTTTGATGACATTTGTAAAGGATGATAAAGGTAAAATTATTGAAACAGGCAAAAATACTTACTGGAGATCCAATAAAAAAACCAGATTGCATAATATCATATAATGCTGCCAAAAGGGTGTAGACATGTCACAGATAAGTTCCTATTACAGCACATTGAGAAAAACAGTTAAGTGGTATCGAAAAATAGTTATGGAATTGCTTTTTGTACAATGATGGTAAATTCATGGGTAATAGATAAAATTTTTTGCTATAATAGAACAAAAATGTCCCTCCTCAAATTTAGGGAAAATATCATCGACGCATTGGCCAATGTTCAAAGTACTCGGCTTTCCAATACACCTTCCAGAAAAGAAAAACACAAACAGACTAAAGCTCCTGAATCTGTCAGAACCAGTCGAAGAAGATGCCAACAGTGTTACAAGCGCATTCTTCAAAGCGATGGAAAACTCCAAGCAGATCGAAAAACAAAAAAAGTACCAAACTTTTATGATACTTGTGAAAATAAACCTTGGTTATGTCTAGATTGTTTTAATATTATCCATAAATGATAATAATTTTTAAGTATTTTTTTATGATATCTAATATAAAATTGTAATAATATTTCATTCAAACGGGTTTGTTGCATTTTTGTGAAATATTTATTCTGTATTAAAAAACTGTGCTAGCAGTATCAATATTGATATATAATATTATAACTTTCAATTTTTAAAATATATAAATATTTGAAGTTTTCGTCATAATTATTTTTTTTTATTATACGATTCTGGCGACCCACCGGTGAACCGCATCGTCTGTAGGAGCTAAAGACCTGTCGACCCACCGTTGGGTCTCTCCGCTGTAACGGACAAACTGTTAGCGACCCACCCGCGTACTCGTACCGTTCCGGCTTGAACGTGTTAATTATTTATACTATACTCACCGCAACTTAAATTCGGTGCAGTCAAGGTTAAGGACGATTATCGATGAGGAGTTCTCAACTGAATACGTTAGACTAACTTCTTTTTCTTCGTTTTTATCACTAAAATCAAATAAAATATTTGCAAATGACGCTTTACTGAATATTCCAAAAAACTTGTTAAAAATTCATTCTAACTTCTTACTTTATGTATGTTGCATTTGAGATATACAGATATACATCTGTATGATTATAGAATTTTTCTGGCACTTCATCAGCTTTTTCTACAACTTTCTCTCCGGCTTTAGCAGTTTCACTGTTTTCCACCCCCATTAAAGATCTTGCTTGTCTAGATTTAATAACTTCTTCAGATACAACCTAAATAATAAATTGTTTTTAGTAAAAAAAGTATGATGACTTTTATTTCACTTTTTACAGATTTGGACTTACAATGGACAGACCAATACAAAATATCACTTGAGCATACTAGAAAATACATAATTCCAATAATAAGATAAAATTATTAGAGATTAAAAAAAAAGGAAATTCAATACATGGATGTTTAGAGCAGACTAAATAAAAGCTAATAGCTCCATCCATCCAATGGCACTACACTCCAAATCGGGCCTTGGCCTCCTTCAACAAGCTTCCCCAATCATTTCGAGATTTACCGCTGTTCTTGAACGCGTTCCCAGGCAGTTCCTAGCATTCTCATCGACTTCGTCTTTCCATCTCTTTTTAGGTCTTCCAACAGGTCTTTTCCCTTGCATTCTTGCATTTAGTAATTTTCTGGGGATTCTATTCTCATGCATGCGAACCACGTGCCCTGCCCACCGTAATCTCTGCAATTTAGTGTATTGTGCTAGAGTTGGTTCGCTATATTGCTCGTATAGTTCTTTATTATACCTAATTCGCCAGTTGTTGTTTTCACTTATTGGGCCTAGTATCCTACGTAATATTTTTCTCTCAACACATCTAATGCATTGGCAGATTTCTGTGTCACCACCCATGTTTCACGGCCATAACTTACTATGGGTCTGATTATTGTTTTATAGACCCGGAGTTTTGTTTTCCGGTGTACGTCTCGTGATTTGAATATGTGTCCAATCGCGAAATGAGCTTTATTTGCCAGCACAAGCCTTCTATTTATTTCCCCTTCTTCTTCATTGCTTGTGATCAGATCCATTCCTAGGTATGTGAATCTATTCACATGTTCTATATCGTCAATAAAGTGTTGTTGCGCCGGTCTATTTGATCTGGTTTGTATGAGTAGTTTTGTTTTATTTGTATTTATTAGTAGTCCTACTGCTTCTGCACTCTGTTTCAACTCATCGTAGGTTTCGCTGCATTCACTGTTCTGCTCATTATGTTTATATCATCTGCGTATGCTGCTAATTGGGTAGATTTGTTTGTAAGTATGTTATTTCCGCTCACCGTCAACCGTCTAATTACATATTCAAGAACAAGATTAAAGAGCGTTGGAGCCAGTCCGCTGTCATTTGCACTAGTCGTATTATTTTTGATGGTATGCCAAATTCTTCCAATTTAGCCAATTATATTAGGTAGAATTGTTCTATCTATTGAATCATAGGCTTGTTTAAAATCTACAAAGAGATTGTAAACGTCCATGTCATATTCCCATGCTTTGGCTAGTATTTGTTTAACTGTAAATAGTTGGTCAATGGTAGATCTATTTTGCCTAAACCCTGCTTGATATTCCCCGATGGGTTTTTCCGTGAGAGGTTGAAGTATTCGATTAATGATGTTTGTGAGTATTTTGTATCCCTAAAGAGATGCTTCTATAATTCTGACACAACAGTTTGTCTCCTTTTTTATGAATAGGGCAGATTATACTTTTCTTCCATTGTTGGGAGATTGCTTCTTCTATCCATATCTCTCGTATTAGCTGGTACATCTGTTGTGTCAAATTCCTTCCTCCTTGCTTGAGTAGTTTTTGTATGTGGATTGCCGTTTGGACCTCCTCTAGCATTGGGGGTCTAGTTAATTCATTTTCTTATCCATCTTCCCCCAGCTCTTTTTGTTGTACCTCCTGCCGTGCCTGCTGCTACCTCTGTTGTTGTAATGGTGGTTGTGTCCCTTTGTTTAGTAATTCCTTAAAATATGTCCTCCAGGTTCTGTTAATTTCATCAATATCGCTAATGATTTCATCCTTCTTATTTTTGCAGAGGCTAGTCTTCGGTTTGTACCCCTGTCTTAAGTATTTGATAAATTGGTATGCACTACGTGTTTCGTTTTCCTTAAACTCTCTGTCTATGCTTATTATCCGTTGGTTTTCGTACTTTCTCTTTTTATGCCTGCACTTCGTTTATCTGCTCTTCGTCTTTTGTTTTCTATTGTTTTCTATTGTTTTCATTGGTTTTCTATTGTGGAGTTGAGTGTTTTCTTCTAGTAATTTTTCATCCACTGTTCTCTCAAATCTTTCTTGTACCTCAGAGACTTTTAGGTTATCTAAGTTTAGTTTCTTTTGTTTTGGATATTTTTCCTTTACCTGTCGACTGATTTTGCATCTAAACCGTGTCTGTACTAGTAGATGGTCTGAGTCACAGCTTGCGCCACGTCTGCTTTTTACATCTAATATACTCGTCGCCATTCTTTTTCAGACAGTATATGCTCTATTTGATTGACTGTATTTCCGTCAGGTGATATCCAGGTGACCTTATGTATGTCCCGATGTGGGAAGCATGTCAAACTGATAATAATATTCTTTCCAGCTGCGAAATCTATTAGAAACTGACCATTCTCATTTGTGTGTCTATGCAAACTATGTTTCCCTATTACTCCTATGTACTCTTCTTCTTTTCCGATCTTGGCCTTTACGTAGCCTATCACCATTTTCATGTCGTTTCTTGGTATTGAGTCATAGATTCGTTCTACATCTTGATAAAAGACTACCTTAGTGCCTTCTTCCTGTTCATTTGTGGGACAGTGTAAGGGTTATGTTAAAGAAATGCGTTTTTATCCTAAGCTTGCAGATTCTTTCATTGATGGCTTGAAAGTCTGTTATCAGGCGCTTCATTTTAATATCTACAATAAAGGCTACTCCAAATTCTTTATTTCCTTCATCTTTACATCTATACAGTATAGTGTATACCTTTTCCCAACCATTTACTTTCTTGTACTGCAGTGATTCCTAGTTTATATATTTTCAGTTCGTGTAGAAGGATCCTCTGTGCTCCTGGTCTAGGCGCAGGAGCAGGAAAAGGTATAATAGCACTTGGCTTAAGCTGTGCAAAATGGTCCATAATCCTCTTGTAACAGTAAACTCGAAATATCTATTTGTGACTTATTGGCAGCCATAAGTACAGTGCAACCAAGCTAGAACAAGTATAACTAACTAAGAAGGGATAACTACAGGAGAACAGCATGTTATTTCGTGGTATTAACACTAAAAATTTCTACATTTCAGGACAATAACTAATATTATAAGTGAGGGGTTGTCACAGTATCACGAAGTTAGACTGGAGTGCTAAACATAGTTTACAATAAGAAAGAAGAGTTAAGGACATACATAATATCAACTAAAAGAAATAGAATTTCAGCAAAGCTCACACAAAAGTGATAGAACTACCATTCTTTTGCCTTCAGTAAGAAATAATGATAATATGGACAATTAAATGTATATATTAAATCTAAAACTGATACTTACCCACGAGGTGTGATGAGCAGTGTACATTCCCAATACATTGTTATTAGTGCTTGCAAGATATTCGTAAATTTCAGGTATAGCAGCATCTTAAAATAAGAAAAGATCTCAGTAGTATAAATATAGCCGAATTAACTGTTCAGTACGCTTAGAATTTTAGTCTAAAATCATGTTGGAAAGTTCTTAACTGATATACCATGTGTTAATAGGGTGTAAAGCTGTTTCGCATGTCAGCCATCAAATTGGATTTGGAACGAAACATCCCCCCATCGACCAAGTACCCAAATCACCCAAGATTTCAAAAAAAAGCTTGGCACAATGGATTATTATACAAAATCAGAAAAAGTTTACATTTCCTGTATCTTCAAATCCTACTTTCAAAATAGACACTTTCAAGTAAGGTATCACGATAAAACCACAATTTGTGGTGGATTTGGGGTTGCGTGCTTATTTTCATATACTTCGTTTTTGTTGGTGTTTATTATTAAACCCATTTTTGTAGCTGATTCTCTTGGTACATACGCCTCTCTTACAGCGTTTTCCGTTCTCCGAACAATATTGATTTCATCAGCATGGGCAAGGATTTGTACTGCATTATTATATATAGAACCAGTGGTTGTGATTTGTGACATACGTATTACTTTTTCCAGAGCCAGATTGAACAGTATACAGAAGAGAGAGTCACCCTGGTGCAGCCCGTTATTTGTTTTAAAAGGTTCAGACAGTTCCCTCTGAATTCATACTCTAAATTCAAGTTTTTCAACAATTAGTTTTTTAGTAATTTTATTTTTTTTTTCAGTAATTTTACAGTGACATAGTATATCAATCAGTGACAAAATCATAAATATAGTGCAAACATTATATTGGAACCAAAGTGCCATAGTTCAAATTGATGGGTAACACTCAGAATAAATGAAGATCTGCAGAGTAGTTAGACAGGGATGTGTTTTATCGCCACTTTTCTGAAGTGATAATCGCCAACTTATATTCTGAAGAAATTTTCCAAAACAAGCTCATTAATATCAAAGCGGGAGTTACCGTTAACGGAAAATTAATTAACAACGATATGCAGATGAAATATTAATATGCAGAGTATTAAAAATATCATGGACTGATAGAATTACAAATAAAGAAGTACTGGAGAGGGTTGGTAAAGAAATAGAACTAATCACTACTATACAAACCAGAAAACTGGAATGCCTAGGCCACGTGATGAAGGGACCAAAATATGAAATTTTGAGACTTATAATACAGGGAAAGATTCAAGGAAGAAGATATGTTGGCTGAAGGCAGAACTCATGTTTGAAGAATCTATGTGATTACTCATCCCAAAAACTCTTCATACTGGAATTATTATTGACCATACCATAATTATTTTGAATATTACGTGATAGACAATAGTCAAAATCAAAATAGGTTTAGAATACAGTTCAATAGTTCAGTTGATGGGGATAATTTTTCAATTTATTACAAATGTTGCATAAAAATATTGCAAAATAGTAGCATGCAAATTGTGTTACAATGGGTTTCATCCAAGCTGCGCAAAAATAGGTGGTTTCAAAGTTTGTGAGAAGGATCTGGCAAAATGCAGTAGAAAAAAAGTGAAGAGAACTTTACTGAAGTAAAAGCATCAGAAGACAACCAAAATCTATTAAAGTTAGAAAATAAGTTGCTAAATCGACTAATTGCTGAAATGGAAATTAAAAATGGTATTCTAAAGAAAATAATAGTTTATTATTGCAAAGAATAAACTTTTTTTAGAAAAAAAAATGTGTCTTGAAAAACCACAGATCAAAAAAACAAATAGTAATTACCAACAAAGTAAAAAAAAGTGAGAGTGAGTCCATATTAATGTAAACATCACAGAATATGCAGCCTATACAAACAGTTAACCTTTTGTGAAGTTGTAGATAACAGTAGGTCATTTGCACCAAGACAGTTGACAATATCAACCACAAATCTAGTAAATATAAACCAAAAGGAAGGTTACATTTGGAGAATAATGACTATGTGAGTGAGAAAGAACAGAATAGTAGTATAGTTATTGTTGATATTGAGGCATGTACCAATAGTGGATTTGTAGAAATGGTAAACAGACGAAGGAAAAGTGGAAAAATATTTTTACTGCAAAAATAAGTTCAGATAAAAATAACAGAGGTTTCATGGGAGAAGAAAGTAAAGTATGGTTAAAGGGGAAACTGGGTATGGAAGAAACTATTATCACCGTAAAAAAATTGCCTGGTCATGAACATATGTTAAAGTGTTTTTTTTAATGTTAAAGTATGTAGCTTGTTTTCCTCTTTTGAACTATCCCAGTTGTTCTTTGAACTCACAAGGGGGAAGAATTGTCTGGACAATATATTTCTAAGTTTGGATCATCATAAATGTAATGTGAATGTTGTTGAGATAGCACTATCTGATCACTGTCACTAGCTTATTGATTGCTTTTTGCCTACTAGTATCAATGATCCAGCACATATTAGATCTGTCTTTAAACTAATTATACAAAAGAGTAAATGTTCTTTTTCTCATATGAAGGTTTAAAATGAGAGATTCTAAACTATAAACTGACTCAACTACTAAAGCTAAATTCTTTGCATATTATAATGGATTAAGTGAGGCTTTCTTATACTCTTTTCCTAAAAAATCCTATAAAAAACGTAGAGATAGAGAGTGCTGGAGTTAAATATGCCTTTCACATTCAGAGAAGAGTGGCAAGGATAATTGCTAGTTTATCCTATTAGAAAGAATGTCGGCACATATATGTAGGACTACATATACAATCCACCTTCACTATTTATTCTAGAGAGTATTATTCATGTAAAACAAAATTAAGAATGTCATCAAAGACATGAGGATGTACACCAATTTGAAACCACAAATAAGAATGCCTTAATGCTGCCCTACACCAGGCTCCAAAGGAGTAGAGACAGACCAAACTTTTATGGTCCGTCTCTCTACATTTTACAACAAGTTGTTTTTTGCAATCACTGAATTACCAAATTTACAATTTAAAGCAGTATTGAATTTTAAAATTTTAACTTTGATGAACCCTATTCATCATATTATTATTTTTCAGGTTTTAAGTGCCTAAATTAAAGAGGAGGTTTATTTATTTATAAATTTATTTATAGATTATAAAAATATATATTATTGTAAATGTAATAGCTACATAATATAAAAAATCACTCACCATGCCTTTTCAACATATCTGATCGGCTTTCAGAATCCTTAGCATCGTTAAGGTTAACAATAAGTATATCAGTCTCTGGAATTTCGAAGTTTTTACCAAACTTATCAAGAGGAACTTCAGTAACTGTAACATCCAGATGTTTTAAAGCCTTGATGGGGTTTTGTACATATGGCAAATAAGAAACTTTCAATGATTTTGCAAGTTTTGCTAAGTTGGAGAATGTTAAACCTCTTTCATCCTTTTGAGCAAAATCTTCTGGACTTAACTGCAAAAAAGTTTTTTTACTAATTATATAAAGGAACAATAACACAGGTCAAAGTTTTGAAATGTTACAAAAAGTGTTTTATCTAAATAATTGCTACACCTGATTGTCAACATTTTTGATTACTCTGTATGTAAAAAAGCCTTTAATAAAGAAGGGAATCAGTTCTGAAACAAGTATTAGCGGATAATTAATACAAATCATCATGTTTATGTGAGTATAATGTTCATTTAAGTGATTAAGTCTGTTGATTGAAATATTTTAAACCCACAGACCCAATGCCAAGATTTGTTTTTGTGTACTGCTTGAAATGCTGTGTAATTAATAATAAGTAATGAAAAGAACCAGCATCATAGGTCAGAAGCAGTTTTCAAAATCTAAAAACTCATTGTTTCAAATCTGTATTCTGAAAGTAGCTTATAATCTGGAAGTTATCAGGAAGCATCATATAATAATTCTAATCCTCTGGTTAATTCCCAGTACATATTACTTAATTACAAAAATTATAACAGTATCACATACAGCTACGTAGAGCTGATATTAGAGACTAGTCACAAATAAATCTATGTAATTACAATGTAAAAAGGTGAAAAAACTTGTGTTGCTTCAAATATTGTTATATGTTAGAGTAAAATGGATAGTGATGGGAAGACCTGGTTCGTTTTTAGTGACCCAGGTCTTTCAGGTCATTCATTAAAATGACCCGTTCATAAAGATCCGTTCGTATGAACGACTAACTAAATTTTTTGTGTAAAGGTCAAGTGTGCATATGAATATGTTTATAAATCTTTCTGAGAGTGTATGAATTAATGATAATGCCGGACCCGTTCATAGAGATTCCTTCATTAGAATGACTTTAACTATATTGTTGTTTACATGCAGACTTCGATATTGTTACTATAAATTTAAGAATGAAATATAGTTTAAAGCTGACATTAAGATTTGTATTTCTCAAATCATTTTCAGAAATATTTGAAATATAAAAAAAATACTTGAAAAAGTTAAGTAAAATTACAAATTCCATATTGTTATGTTCATGAATGAATGATAATGTAACAACTAATATGGATTTTATTCCCTACAAAGTTATAAACAGAACAGACCATGGGACTATTTACTTGACAATTCAAATGTATATAATTTTACAGTTTTGCAGCATAAGGGTTTCGCTAGTCTGGGAAACTGAAATCAGTATTTGACCGATCCTGTGTGGTTCGCGGTTCATGCATTAATTTGACTGAGTAACGTGTTGCGATCACACAGTTTGTTTCGTAAACACAGTTCATAGACAGCGTCATTCGAACGGTAGGGTCACAGAATGTGATTGTATAAATTACGGGTCTTCTAAAAGATCAGATCTTTGTGAACGGTTCGTTCATGATCTTCTTATCACTAAAAATGGATACCTAAGTTTCATTATTTAAGCAGTTACATTTCTCAATTTGGTAATGTTCACAATTTAAAAAAGTTTGTTCAGACATATATTTATACAAAGTGACTTAAATTATTTTTTTATTATTTTATAAAAGAGGTAATCTGAAATCTTTACTAAGCTTTTTACATTTTATTCCTTATAATCCACCTAATTTTGATTTCGTAAGTTATTGAGTCTTCAGTTAATCAGTAAAGACAGACAAAAAGGCTAAACAACTGTAAAAATATGCAACTACAAAATATATATACTTGAAATTCTGGTTCTTTTAATGCTAAAAATATATGATTTATTTGCGGGAGGTTAAACAAACAAGTTAGGGCCCAATATCTGTGAATTCCCAAGGTAAAGTTAAATGATACTTACAGTTTGTTCAGCAAATAAGACTATCAATGGATCATCTTTCAAGTACTGCTCTATATTTTCTTTAAAAATGTCTTGACTAACTTTATTTAATGCGGGAATGTGCTCGTTGGTTCTAAAAAGTAAAAAAAACGAGTTTAGCCCAGTAAGTCATGAGGTTTTAGTGGTAAAATCATATGATCAAATCACTTCTCAAAAAAGACTCAATTCACTAAAATACTCCAGCAATACATTTAAAACATTGATTAGGGTCTAAAACCTTAATAAAAAACATTACCAATGTGGCAAAAGGCCAAAATTGAAGCAATAAAAACAAAAATACTAGTACCTTTTATTTGACCAAATGAAACATGGGACAAATTCTGTAGACTGAACTAAACTAAATATAAAAAATGTTGCTAGAAAGAACAATCCACTTTTACTTGCACTCATTTTGGGAAAATTCCTTGTAATTACTGTAAAAAGAGGACAACTAGAATTGATCACGTGAAAATTTGGAGCAGCCCAACATTTGACAATCAGATGTGATGGTGACGGCTTGATTTTACTCAATTACTCACCTCAACTAATTGTCTATTCCAGCTCTACCTGGTAGATCTAAAGTTAACTTCAATTAGGTCATCTGTTGTTGGCTGCCTACAACTATAATAATTCCTTCTGTTTGTAAATTTCTTTGTATTGTAGAGATCTACGTTTTACTACTTTACTTTAACACACACAGATGTCCCTAACAGAAATAGTATATTAAACACACTAATAAATACATAAAATATGGATACCTGCTTATGTTTTTATTAAATAAATAATAATAGTAATAAAAAAATAATTTATTAATATATATTTCTTTAGTCTAGAAAACTGTACTATAAATTAAAATTATTGAAGAGTTAAATAACAGAGGTCGCTTCAAAAGCATTAGACAGGGTTGGACTTGTACAATATTATATATTTATTATCTTTGAAAAACAATGGAAACGTAGCGTATTTATTTATTTTAACTATATTTATTATATTTTTATATCATGAACTATATTTTTTATCAATTATAGTACAATTTTATTTTATTATTTTATCTTCCCGCCTGCCTTATGTGTATACGATTTTTATCTACCTACTCATGTTCTTTTTTAAGGCCTCTATATCTTTCCATTCAAAATCTCAAATGCATAAATAATCTAAAATAGTTTCATACTACCTTTTCCTTGTGAATCCTTCTTAAAACATTTTGAAGGTTGTCGTTTTCTTCTAAAAATGTTTACAAGAACAAATGGGGGAACGTCTATCTTCGTGTATAAAGATTTTATTTTTTTTACATTATATCACAACTACCAATTTGGAGGCCATAGCAATAACTGTCTAGTGTCCCGACAAAATAACCAAATGCAGTACATTTATATTCCACCAAATTACAACCAAACAGAGACCTAGTTTGATTATTTAACTCGCTAACTACCCAAACCTTTTATACTGGTTGGAGCACTCATAATACAATGTGGGGCTCTAAGAAAATATTTGGTAGATAAAAACCTTACAGACCACATTAAGTTGTAATAATGCTTATCTGATGAATAGTGGAGCCAGTACATATTTTAATATTGCGTCAGGAACTTACTCTTCTATCGATCTAAGCATATGTGATCCCAAGTCTGCCGATTCACTTTCATGGGTTACTTTAGATAGCTTGTCTGATAGTAAACACTTTCCGATAGTCATAACATATACAATAAATTTTTTTGCACCATTACTAAATGGAATATCGCTAAAGCGGACTGGAATCATTTTCAGACTAGCGCCGAAAATCATCTTTTATTTCTCCAACAATTTGAAGATATAGATGAGACAATAATTCTCCTTAATAACTGCATTATTATGGCTGCAGAAAATCATATAAAAAAATAACGACACACTCCTCTAAAAAAGCGGTAATGTGAACTAACTATACGTCAATGCAAAATGGCCCTCAACAGATATCGAAAGAGCAGAAGTTAAGAAACCTAATCTGTTTCAAAAATATAAGAGCCAAAACGAAATACGTCTTTAAAAATAGCAAAAAATACTCCTGGCAAAAATTTTTTTTCTATACTTACTAGTGATACTCTACCATCTCAAGTTTGGACAAAAATAAGACAAATGAAAGGTCATAAAACTCCTCCAAAAATTCCAGCAATATGACGAAATGTAAAAGTTATAACAAATAACCAAATAATTGCGGAAGAGACGTCACTGTTCAACTCTTGACAAATTAGTATTATTACAAACACAAGTACAACACTCAGTACAATACTTTTTATTCTTGCAACAAATGATATTTGTTCGAGTATTTTGTATTGCTCCAGACCGCCGTAAGTCAACTTAGCGAATAGTTAAAAAAACTGGATAAACTCTTTCAACCACTAAATCATAATGTTTAGCAAAAGAGCCTGCAGCCAAAGTCCAATTATCACCCTTAACGGAACTACATTGTATAACACAAAACACTCGTTTGAACGTGTGGGGTGCGGACGAAGGCATCTTAATGTATATAGAGCTTTAATCCGCTCAAAATTGGACTTTATATATATATGTCTGCACTAAAATATGTTCTTAAGCTACTGAACTTTGTAGATAACACTTCCATTGGTCTTTGCTTAGACACTTTTAAATCTAGTCCTATAGACAGCCTTTACTGCGAGGCTAATGAACCACTTCTCTGGATTCGATGAGAGTATCTGCCACAATCTTACTTTGTTTCCGTATCCGCTAATCCATCCAATCTAGTCTATCTTTTAATTACCTCAACATCGTGGACACTCTTCCTTGGAGTAGACCAATTCCACATTCAATCACTTCTCTTTTAGTAAGCAGTAAACACGAAACCTCAAACCTTCTCAAAGATAACCCTTCGAAGAAATCATAAGCATTAATCAATCCCCAAAAATTTTGTACAGAGATGCCTCAAAAAGCGAAGCAGGCATTGCATGTGCCGTTACCACATGTGATGAAATAATAAAATCATCTTTCTTAGCGAATTTATGCAGCGTATACACTGGAGAAATCTGTGCGATACTAGAAATCTTCTTAGTTCAAGAGATCGATAGGACTTACTGGTGTAAATGTCACTATCATCTGGCTACCATCCCATATCGGCATATCCGGTAATGAAAAAGTAGACCAAATTGTCAATCAAGCTTCTTGCGTAAACAGTGAACACTCAAAATTGTTCACTGTTTACGCTTCAAAAGACGAACTCGAAAAAACTTAAAGATAGCTTTATACATAAAAGAGAATGAACACGCTTTACAATAGAAAGTAAGGAATAGAAAATTCTACATAGGGAGAGAACATTTACAGATGGAACAGAACATTTTATAGGAACTGGAGTAGTGATAAGATCTAGTGATAAATTCAGAAGAACCCCCCATAATTGTAGGAGACATAAATGTGAGATATACCACCTAAAATGACAGTAGTATTAAGCAGATAATCCCCATATCTATCAAAAGAACCGTAAAGTAGCCAACTTTCAGAAGAATAATTGGTGAAAATATCGGAAACATAACGAAGATTCTAATCACAGATGAACTACAAAGGAAGGTACTGGAATTCGAAGATATGGTAAGGATGCCTGAAACAGAAGTACAACTATAGAAGAAATCCTAACAACAAAAGACAGATTATGACCAATAAATGAAGAGTTAAAAAATCTCTTGAGATAATAAATAGAATATAAATATATGCGAGCAAACAGAATGGGAAATCAAGAAAATAAAAAATTGGCAGGTTAAACCGTGAAGTAAAACAAAGACTTACGGAACATACAAGCAATAGATGGAAATAGTACATCTCCTTCTTCATATACCATGTCCTTTCAGAATGTTGGTTACCATCATAGCTATCTTTATTTTATTCACTGCCTAAATAGCATGCTTGTATCAATACCATAATAATCTCGTAAGTTTTTAATCAACGAAGTGCTTCTCAGTCTTGGATTGTGTTTGCCTGCTATTTTCTTTTGCATAACATTTTAGAACAATTTATATTTATGACCTGTCGATACCAATTTTAGGTTTATGTTACATAATACCTTGGACATCCTTCTAAAAGCGGCTCTGGATTGCTCAATTCTGGATCTAATTTCACCATGACGCTCTGCACTACAGATTAACTGATATCCAAGGTACGGAACATACAAGCAATAGATGGAAATAGTACATCTTCTTCTTCATATACCATGTCCTTTCAGAATGTTGGTTACCATCATAGCTATCTTTATTTTATTCACTGCCTAAATAGCATGCTTGTATCAATACCATAATAATCTCGCAAGTTTTTAATCAACGAAGTGCTTCTCAGTCTTGGATTGTGTTTGCCTGCTATTTTCTTTTGCATAACATTTTAGAACAATTTATATTTATGACCTGACGATACCAATTTTAGGTTTATGTTACATAATACCTTGGACATCCTTCTAAAAGCGGCTCTGGTCTGCTCAATTCTGGATCTAATTTCACCATGACGCTCTGCACTACAGATTAACTGATATCCAAGGTAAACAATTTGAGCAACTTGCCCAAGTTTGCTACTATTTATTTGCATATATAGAGGGTCTTATATTCATCAGGTAAGTATAAATTGTATTGAAAAACAAAGTTATAGTCACTAAAACATTGCTATCATTTATAAGCTTGTATATTTCACTTGGAATTTCATCAGGACCTCTCGATTTGCCATTTTTTGATGGAAAAAAAAAATTCGATGACCAAAACGCTTGTGTTACTTCAGAGCGTGCCATTAGGGGTCTGTCGCAGTTAGTAGTATCCGGAGGTGAACTAATCCTATCGTTGTTTTTGATGATTTTATGCAGTTTCTAAATCGATTTTTTATTAGAATGAAGTCGATTTGGTTCCTAGTAATTTTATTCTCTGATTCTGGGTTTGATTTTCAGGTGTAGAGTCTTCTCGGTGGTAATTTTTAATATTCAATATAATGAAATCGTGTTGTTGGCAGAACTAAACAAGTCGATCTCCACGTTAATTTTTGTTTCCCAAGCCATAATTCCCAACAATATTTAAACAGCGTTATTTGCAGACTTTGGCGTTAAAATCTCCGAGGAATATGGTAGTTTCTGCTACTTTAACAAGATCTACAGCATCAGTAAGATCTTTGTAAAATGCGTCTACATTATCTTCATCACTGAATTATGTTGGGGCATAGACCTGAATTACGTTGGTAATAAACGGATTTAAATTAAATTTCACTAGGATTACATGCTAAATCCAAACAAACCATGTCTATGGAAATAATTGAAAATTCTAACGGAGAGTAGAAGGAATCACTGCGCTACTTACATGGAGAAAACGGAACGGTATAATCTACACTACTAAATACAAAATAAAAGTAATGTAGAGATGCTATGCTTAGAAAGAGATTGGAACGAACCCAAAACCCAAATCAACAAGCCGAAATATTCGATACTGATA